TGGGCTGCTCCTTGCTCCAGCTGCTCTCGGACCTGCAGCTGCCTTGGGTACGTCTGCACACCCAGGTTTTGTTCAGTCACATCCAAAAGGACATTTGCATTTGCTGTTGGCAGTTACGGAGGACACGGAACCACAGAATGGGTGGGGTTGGGAGGGACCTTAGAGACCATCTTGTTCCAACCCCCTGCTGTGGGCAGAGACACCTTCCACTAGACCTTCCACCAAGCCCCATCCAGCATCTTACAGTGGGGATGTTTGGGATTATGAACCCTGTTTGGGTTCATAAAGATCAGGAACACATTTCTCACCTCCACATCTGCTCTGCCCCATCCCCACACTAGACACGAACATGGTTTTACTCTTTGCAGAGCCTGGGGTGACACAATACCTGGACACCCCAGCAGGGTTTGAGCACAGGCAACAAAAACTCCATCAGAAACACCAACTGCAGCCCTGGGGAGCGACACGACCTCACAAACCTCAGCACGAGGCCGGGGTGACAACCCAGCTGCCACCCCCTGCCTGCTGCCCCGGAGGCAGGAGTCAACCCATCCTGGCAGGAGTCAACCCATCCCGGCGGCAGGAGGTGCCCCCACCACGGTGTCGGGGAGGGGAGGGGGTCAGAGTTCGTATCAAATGGCATTAATCACCTTTCCTGAGGCTCTGCACACGCTGGACAGAACGATTAATCAGCGGCGTATCAGCCCTCCAGCCCGGTCGGGCCCCTTTGTGTGGGTCCCTTCCCATCACAGCCAGATAAGATTATCAGTGACGAGCAAGACACCCATTGAGCAACACCTGACTGGGAGAATGGGATTTTTTTTCTTTTTTTTTTATTTATCCCCCTGTCTCAAAGATGAGCTGTTTCTTGTCTTGTCAAACCACATCCTTTTCTTGAAAGAACCAGCTTTAAGAATCCAATTTGTCAAGCTGGACAATCATTTGAGAATCCATAAAAAGCCTCGGTGACTTTATCAAAAAAAATAAATCAGAAGGTTTTAAATGGTAACTGAAAGGGATTTGAAAATAGGTTGAGTGGCCTACATCAATTAATCTTCAGAGAGCTGGGGCTTTGTGAAGCTGGAGTGGCGGAGAAGTGTCAAAAGCTAGTTACTGGGCTTGAGGAGATGGAAGTTATCGATATTTCTCCTCTCCTTTTTCTCTCTTTTCCTCTTTCTCTGTCTCTTCAGAACATGTTGAGGCGATACCCTCTGCCACAGGGTACTGCAAAGCCAAGAAGGGCTGGAAGGTCAAGCCCAGAAGGGGCAGGTGGTCAAGGCCACTCTTCCCTGGTGAGGTTTTGCTGTGGTCACTCCCAGTGCCAGCTAATGAGGGCCAGACCATGGCTTTGGGTCTCTCTGCTGGCGAGTGCCAGAGCCCCAGAGCAGCCACAGGGAGGATGGCTCCCTCAGAAGGAGCCATCAGACGCTGCTGACATTTAAGGGCAGCCGAGGAGTCCTGAGGCACATCATGACACCTGAGGATCCCACGGGCTCCGTCACCCAGGAGGGAGGAGAGAAGGGGAGAAAGAGATAAACGGTTTCAGTTCAACCCCGGGGCCTGAGCAAAGCGCTGCAAACCGACAGGAGACCTCGGGGCTCGCAAAGTGAAATGAAGAAGCTGGAGAATGAGGTATTTGGCTGAAGAGAGCCAGTGCCCTGGAACAGCAGCAGATCTCCTGGCCCTCCTAATGAGAGCCGACAGCCCCGATTGCTCCTCGCTGTGCTGCTGCTCCGAGAGACACGGGGACGAGGGACAGGGGGCCGAGATGCTGAGCCCCAAGGAGCACAGCCAAGGGGACACGGGGATGGAAACAACGGACTGAGGAATTTAATACATTTAAAAAAAAAAAAAAAAAGAAAGACCTTGGGAGGAATCAAAACGCTGCAGAGAAGGGCCACGCTGCTGTGCTCCAGTACCGAGAGCAGGATGTGAGGGGCTCCAGATGGCTCTGTGGTTTAGTGCAATAAAAAATTTAATCTGACAGGCAAGTGTGGGGCTGGAGAATAATAATAAGACAAATAATTTCCTTAAAAAAACCTGAAAGGAGTGTAACAGCTCAAAGATATCTTCATTTGCTGCAAAGAACAGGGACTATTGGTTATTTACTGCAGTTGGGAGCGTGTTCACAAGCTTTCAAGCGGTATTTTGTTGCAGAAGTATAATATAAGGACACTTTCCTCGCTTTCCAGTCTGGGGAAATAGATCTGACTTGGAAATTGGCCAGAAGGGCTGCAAGTTCGGGCTCTGAAGCGAAGGTGATAACTTTGCCAATTAAATATGGATGTGATTTTTCCCCACTCTCCTTCCCTGGAATACTTTTGCACTGTCATTAGGTGATGATATAAAGACACAGGCCTCCTGGTGCAGCTTAATTGCTCCTATACAGAAAAATGATGAGCTCCGTTGTGCTGCACGGGCGCTGCTGTGGCTACTTGCTGCCTTATTAATAGGTGACACCAAAGTGTGTTTAATTCCTCTGCCCAAGGAAAAACAGAGAGATGGCAAAGCCCTGCTCAGCAAATACTTCAGTGCTTGCTAAACTGCTTCACTGAACAGCGAGGGGCTGAAGAGTGAGTTTATATTTAATCACACACTTAAAGTGTTTTGCTGAGTTGATGCTCAGTGCACGGGAGGCAGGATGGACTCCCCGTTAAGTGATCTTTTATTCCCATATCCTTATATTTTTCTCTTTTATTGATACACAGCGCAGACTATCCTGTGTTTTGCAGTCTGCTGCTGGATGATTTCTAGTCCAGGGTGAAGCCTGGGCAAGCGAAGGACAAAAAAAAGCACAGCTTCTCTGGGCAACCTGCAGCCCCCTCACAGGGAAGAATTTCTTCCTATTATTATTATTATTATTATTCAGTCTTTGGGAAAGCAGCATTACTGCATGTTTTCGGTCTTTACTTCCTCAGCAGCCAATAGACCCCTCCTTAAAAGTCCTTATTTGTTTCTGCTTTGTAACAATCTCTCTAGGAAAAAGTTTTTTAAGGGATTGGCCCTCTCCCAAAAGAAACTGGGGGAGGCACCCTCCAATCTGCACGAAAAGCAGGTGGGCACGGGCTGCAGGGGCAGGGAATTTGCATTTGCTGAGGCTCTGAAGATTGAGTTTCACTCCCGAAGAAGCTGCTGTTGGCACGGGGGGAGCAGAGCAGGGAGGAGAGGCTGCCACTAAATTGATGGCAACAGAAAAAGCTGGAGGTACAAATGGCTTGAGAAAAGGCGTGATGAGATGTGACTGCCCTGGGTCCTGGGACTGGAGAGAGCAAAATAGGAAAAGACCACCTGGACGAAGAGAAAGTGCTTCTGATTGCTCGGGGAAAAACGGAGTTAAAGATCATTGGAACGGACAAGGCAATCTGGCGGCGGCGCGGGCTGTGATTGCTGCCGGGGCGGGCAGGGGCTGCACCCCGGGGATGCGGGGGGGATGGAGCCGGCACTGGCACAGGGCATCATCTGCACGGGCGGGACGTGCGGGCACAGGGGTCCGGCCACACCAGCATTTCGGGGGGTCTGAGCCCCGGCAGCCCCAGCTCTGCCAACTCCCCTCGACAAACCAGAGAGCTCAGCCCCGAGTTCAGCACCGTGGCAGAGCCGAGGACACCCTGCCCAGCCCCCGGGAAGCAGGAGTGAACCAAACCATGGTGGGGAAGTATCATTTAGGGGTCACACAAATCCTGGGGTGCGACAGATCCCCCACATCTCCTCCAGCCCAAAGACCTTCACCCCGAGTGATGCTCTGAGCATCCCGGGAGTGCGTGTGCTCTGGGCTGTGCATTCACACAGCCAAAGATTTTCTAAAGGTTATGCAAAGGTTACCACCCAATTAATGTGCTGGAGCAGCACTAGCTCTATTTGCCTAATTTCCAAATCTGAAGGCCACGGGGCAACTCAGCAGCTCAAAGGCTCCAGCTCCCCCTACACATCTGTGCTGGCCCCTCAGTCCTGAGCTGCATCCTGGCACACAGGTGATGGCAGCGATGAAGATAACAACAGTAATGTATCCATTTCCTCTACCTTGGGCATTTTTAAGTCATCTCATCTCAGAAATGAGCCAATTTCAGCCTTTTGCCTGACAACCTGTTGGACCCTCTGAGCGACGGGCAGATGGTGGGGTTGTATTCACACATCACCTCTTGTGGCATTGCACGGGCTGGGAACCCAATCACTGCTCTGTTTGAAGGTCACAGAATTATAGAATGGTTTGGGTTGGAAAGGACCTTAAAGCTCATCTAGTTCCAACCCTCTACCATGGAAGGAAGGGCACAGAGTGACCTACCTAATCTGCCTGCCACCCTCTGAACTCCCACGACACAAGAGGAGAGGCAGAGCCCCAGGAAGATGGAGATGGACTTTGCTCTGGGTACTGACCAAACCAGCAGTGGGTTCTGGAGGCTCAGCCTCCAGCTGTAGGATAACACTGTGTGCAGAACACACAGAGATGAACTGTTCCAAAATAGGCATAAAATATAGTTTTTTTTCAAATGTCCCTACTCATGTTATTAACTATGTCTCAGGTTACTAACCACAAGCAAATTAGGATTATTTTCTTCCCAGCATCATGAGCCTGAGGTAGCTGTTCCCTTTAACCCAGGACTTCCATTAGCCTTTATAGACGATTTCCCTGTCAGGCTTTCCATGTATGATCACAGCTTCCCAGCTCCCAGCATTCCAATCCACCCAATCTATCCTTATTGCAACTCCAAGCGCTTCACTAATTCCTTAACTCACACTGCAATCTCACATTCCGGAATATGGGATTGAACAGCAGCAGTGCTCCTGCCACTGCTTCCAAATGAAATGAGCCAGGAGGAAAAACATTCCGAAAGGTTTTCAGTTGGGCGTTCGTGGTTTGAAGGACATTTTAAAGGCAGGGAACACAACCTGGCTCCTGCTGATGTTCATGAGGATTTAATTGTGAGAAATAGCAGACGGTGTTGGAGAGGAGCAAGGAAAGGGGGTGAAGTCTGATACGACATTAAGCAGATGTGACTTACCTTTCCAATCCCCCCAGGGTCCCACGGAGCAGGGCTGGTCATCTTGGCTGTATTTTTGGCCTCCTGTGTTGAGAAAATAAAGAGCCATCAGTAGCAGAAGATGGGGACTGGGTAACCCTCTTATACCAAGGATTGCAAAATGAAACACATCTTTTAAAAGCTGCTGTTTTGGAGGGTCCCTCCATAAAGGCACAACAGAAGTACCCTGAGAACAGACTGTGGCACTCAGGACATTCCCAAAATAAGGGACAAAGCAGCCACTGGACCAATGGTGGGAAGGAGACCACAAGCACTGGATCTTAGTCCAGGCTCCAAACTTTTCCTCCCTCCCAGAGGTGACACAGGAGGGTCCGAGTTTCCTCCCAGGCTGTGGAAGCCTCATGAGCAGAGTGGGACTGTGAGGCAGCAAAAAAAGGAAGGAGAAGCTGAATAGAAGAGTTTGCAACACCTGATGTTTGGTCCAGCAGAAAACCCAGACTGGTCCCTGTTATTGCTCAGCTCACCCATGGATGCCATGGAGGCACCTCTTTCTTAGATATTTCTGGTTATTACAGTAGGTTTGGTTTCCTTCCAACACCACAAAACTGGTGGTTGCTGGGAGTCTGCCCTTCCCTGCATCCTGAGCCCCCCAGGTTCCCCCCTGTGCCCACCCCAAGCCCCCCTTGGCCCCCCCGTGCCCCACAGAGCCAGGAAGGAAAACAAACAGCAGCAGAAAGCTGAAAACTTTCAGTCTCTCTCTCCTGTTAATTATGATCTTATTTTGCACAGAGAACCTGTCATTCAGCTGCTGGTAATGGATAGTTTCTATTTCAATTCTCCCTCCACCCTATTATCTTTTATAAAATTCCGCCGGCCGGGTGATGGATTGATAAGGGCCGGTCCCGGCGGGAGCCGCTCGCTCGGAATGGCTCTCACACACCCAACTTCTGTATCTTTTTAAATATTTCAGTTGTTTGAGATCTTTATTTCACATTTCGATTTCCTGTAGTACAGTAAATTTATCTTAGTCACCCAGTCAAGTTCTCTCCAAGTCTCTTATCTTCTCCTCCTCTGTACGGCTGAAGGCCCCTACACTATCTGTGCTGCTGATAAAACCGGCCCTGGCAATCCACAGATCCCGCTGATCCGGCGGCCCCAGCCCCACAGAGACCTTGGAAGCCCCGTGCTCAGCCCAGAGGAGACCTTGGAAGCCCCACACTCCACACCAGCTGGAAGTTCAGTGCCCAAACCCAGCACTGGCTCCTCTCAGGGCACCTCCTGCTCAGCTGGAGAAGCGTCTGGGGCTCCCTGTGGACCCAAGGGATATTATGGGCAAGGGCAGCTGCTCCCTGCAAGGAAAGCCCAGCTGGGGCCATGTGGGACGTCCCCAGTGGAGGGGTCTGTGCCAGCCAGACGCCCTGCTGTAGTCCCAGGCCAGCAGGCAGAGCTCATCAATACAAGGATGTGCTTTTCCCCCCACTAAACCACAAATTTTTAAAAACCTCAACAGCAAGGAGCAGAGAGGACATCCCGCTCTGCCACGGAAAACCCCATCCCAACAGCATGCATCACACCCAGGGAGGAGACAGGAGCGATCAAATAAAAACAATAATGAGCAGAAACAACAAACAGGTAAAACCAAGTCAGCTCCTCGCCGTTCCCTCGGCGGCACCGGCAGCGCCGAGCGCGATCAGGCAGCACCCCCTGGTGCCACCGCGGGCACCACGCGGGGGGAGAGGAGCCGGGCCAGGCTGCCGTGGGGATGGAGCACCCGCAAACGGGGAAACAACTGCCCGGGAAACCGTGCGGGAATTCAGCCTCCCGTTTTCCCCCGCAGGGACACGTGCCTGGATGGATGCTCGGACAGGCGCAGAGGGATGGCTGTGTGAGGCAGGACATGTCACCTGCCCGGCTCCAAGCACAAACACACTGGTCTGGGATCGTCCCCATCCCACCTGCTGGGACCCAGGAGCTCTAGGATCCAGGAAATCTAGGTGATTTCCCTCCTTGGGAAGTGGGTTATGGTTCCAGTGAGTTCCAGCTCCTGCCTCACTGGTTACAGCAAGACAAGAGGTTGGGGTCCTCCCTCTCCCCAGATCTTGGAGTGATTTCATCCCCCGGGATCAAACTCAGCAGCAGGGCATCCAATAAACACATCTGCAGAGGGGTGATTTATCTGCAGGGGAAGCCATGGAAATTCCCAGACCCTCTTAAATATCTGCCTCCTGGCTCTAAACCGTCAGTAAGTTGCCAACTGGGGAATGTATTTGTCTGCTCCCCTCTGTATATTTTCCGCTTTTCATTATAATTTGCTAAATAATACATTGCAATGAGTTATTTATCACACTCAGCAGTTTCGTGATGCCTCCTCCATCCCGAGGAATTTCACCCATAAATCAGACACACAAATATCTGCTGGCATTGCTGCACATTTAACCCTGCACCCAGCACCTTTCACCTGCCCCAGTGGCTCCCAGGCTCTGCCGAGAGCCATCGCTGGATTAAATGGAATTTCTTTCCCCCAGGATTGCCATCTCCCTCCCACTGTTGCTCCTTTCTCTGTGGACACCAGCCAAAGGGCAAAGGGGGAATGGAAACAATAAAAATCCCAAACCCAGCAGAAGAAAAAGGGGAGGGGGAAGATTTCTGGGAGCTCCGTTGGTGGGAGAAGCAAAAGTGGCACCAAGAGGTAAATGAGAGTAAAATTCATTGAATGCTCTGAGAATGCAAAAGGACCAAGGGAGGGAGGCTGAATATTCCTGGCTCCTCCAGGAAATCACAGACGGGGATTCAAATGATGCAGCTCTCCCAGTGAGGCCAGGAGAGCCCTGCACCCACAGCAACAGGGGACAGAGGGCAGGGATGGCACCTCCGGAGGGTTTCAGCACTCAGCTCCTGCAGAGGGACCCACTGCAGGGAACTGGTAGTTTTCCAGAGCAAGTGGCTGGGGAATTCCAGCCTGAGTCACACAGGAGGAAAAAGAAATCGATTTATTCAAATTAGCGTTATTCCCTCCCCCAGACTTTCTCCCTCCTCCTGGCAAAGTGATGGGCACCGACCCCTGTACTGGTGTCCTCAGGACCCAGCACAGGGTGAGTGACACAGGCCTGTCACCCACAGCAAGGAGAGAGGGGAGCAGGGGGTCTCCTGATCCCCTTGGACTGACACCCAGCCCAGGGAAGAGGGGAAAGCTCCATCACTGGGGAAATCCTGGTGACAGGAGAGGCACGGGAGAGACACCCCCAGACCTTCTCCTGGTGACCACGAGTGAAGAGCTTGGCCAGCACCAGGTTGTCAGTGCTGGGAAATGAGACACGGCCAGCACTTGGCTTCAGTCCCAGGGGGAACACCAGGAGGGAAAAGTTATGATTCCTCAGGTTGAACCTCCCTTTCCAAGACCTTGTACCCCCCCTCCAAAACAAACTGCTTTGAAAATATGCATTAATTGAACTTTACACCATCCATCTTAAATCAACAGTATCTTGGCATACAGATGGGGAAATCAAGGCATGGAAGGGATGAAGAAACAGAACCAGGAAAAAACCCCTCTCTCTGTGCTTTAACTACAAAATCATCTTTCCTCATTAGCAGCTAATCAGAACTACCAGAGGGGAAGAGATTACAGACAGGGCGGAGAGGGGAGTATCTCAAAGAAATACAGACATCAGAACAGATTTTCATTTATTTACTCATTTATCACAGCGAGTCACAGGCTTTGAGTTCATGAGTCTGCATTAGCCTTGCAGGATTTTGGGATGCAATCTGCAAAATCTCAGAAGTGAACAGGTCACAGCTACGTGCCATCTCAGGAAGGAGAAAATCAGCAGTTTTGGGTTGGTCTCGGGAAGTCTGATATTGCTTTGCCTGCTGGATTATAAGAAACCACTAATCTTCCCTCACCAGCCTCCTAATCTCTATGGGAGCCCAGATGCCTTATCGGGAACTTGCTCAGTGAAGAGCACCCTAGCTCGCCTGGTAGTGGCTGGGGGGTGGATTCCAGCAGCTGTGGGACACAGGGAATGGCAGGTGGGGGAGCTGAGGTGTGTTTCAGCACCCACCATGCCACAGGTGCCCCGTGCCATGCCAGCCAGGACAGGAGACATGGTCAGGGCAGGAGCAGGTTGGTGATGGACAACATGAATGTCACACATCACGTTTGTTCCTTAACTGAGCAGCTCCAAAACGAGAGGGCATCACTGGGCTTCAGGTGCCAGGGCTGAACCCCTGCATGCCCTCAGCTCATCTGAACATCTCTCGGCCCACCTTTGTACCTTTAGACACCAAAATAAACCATCAGCAGTTCAAGGGCTTTTTTCTCCCCCTTCTTCCCCAAGATGATTTGCAAGAAGCCAAGTGTTATATTTACTGCAGGCAGAGAATGTCTCATTTCAAACTTCCCCTTCTCATTTCACCCTGACTTTCCAGGAGTGAGGAGGCAGGCAGTGTCCACGGCTCTCACACCACCACCACCCCCAGGCAGTGCACTGGGCTGGCTCTGAGGTCTCCAGAGGGGACGAGCCCCCGTAACTCCCACCAGCCCTGGGATGCCCCAGTGAGTCCCCACCTGCACAGAGCATTTCCTGCAGCATTTCCAGCCCTGCTCACAAGCCCACGCTGGGAAATGAGGAACATATTTTTAAATGAGAGGAGGAAATGGTGTCTTTGTGTCAGGCAAGTGGAAGAAATCCAGGACCAAGAGACTGCAGAGCCTTTCCACTTCAGACAGCAGGTGCTCTCCAAGATGTGGTTATGGCAACAAAATAAATGATGGATAATTGCTTTTGTGACAACTTGCCAATTAAATTAGACTCAGCAGAATAACATAATGACAATTTGTTATGCTCTGGTGGGCACTAACACACCAATCATAATTAAATGCTATGACTGAAATAGAATGCTGCTGTACACAGGAATATATAACCCCAATTCCCTCCCAGTGAAACATTATAGGTTCAGACTTGATTTCAATTTCTGGAGGATAATAGCATTAGCGCACATCAGAATGAGCTTGCAATATGCAGAGAGGCAGCAGCAGCACAGGGACAGACAGAGCCAAGGGCAGCTGAGCCACCGGGCTCCTGGGAGGACCCCCCAGCACCTCTAATGCCCCAGGTCTCAGAGCAGTGGGGGACATCCCGAATCACTGCTGTGGCCAGGGGAGATCCCAAATCCCCGGCTCGGGGAGGAAGGCAGGGTGGTGACTCCAAGGCAGTGACACTGGCCCCAAGGCAGTGACTGGCCCCAGGGGAGCAGCCCCACTGCAGGCACTAAGGTAAGAGCTCGTCGGGACAAGGCCATGGGGGTTTCTTGTGGGAGCACATCCCTTTGTGCCAGCAAAGCCCTCAGGCTCCAGAGCAGTGCCCTCACAGCCAGACTGAGCCACGGGACAGGACACAGTCCCCTCCCATAGCCAAGCCACGGGATACAACACAGCCTGCCCTTCCTGGAATGATTATTAAAATGTTCATAAATGTACTGCAGTGCCCAGGAGTGAACTCATCCCACTGCCAGGGTCCCTCAGGGCTTGGCCACACACAGGCTGGGGAGCCAAACTGCCCGGGGCTGGGGTCAGCACTGACCAAGGAGGGGGTCAGGTCCTGCCAGTTCTTAACATTCACTGGCAAAACAGCAGTAGCTTCTTCACCCTGAGCCACCACTGAGCTCAACCTGCTGCTCTCACAGGATGCTCCAACCCTCCCACTGCTCCTTCTTCCTGCCCTGCTCCTTACACCTCCCAGAGCTGCTGGGCGAGGAATTACCATGACCTGGGCATTGCTGGTGCTGCAGAAACAAAACCCTGCAGACAGCACCAACCCCAGCTAGAAAGAGTTCCTTCAGAATCAGAACCAGGCAGGGGGCAGGACTGATGCTGCCCAGGTCTTGCAAGGCAGGAGCCATCTGTGTGCCATCCCTGCTCTGGAGTGGGAACTCCAACGCCCTGCTCCAATTCCACCATCCACTTTCCCAACAGATACAGACTTCTGCAATATTCCAAAGCTCAAAGGGGCAGGTTTGAAGACCAAATGTGTGTGTGTGTGCAAGCAGGGGTGGGCAGAGGCAAATCACAGAGGGATTCTACAGTGAGGCAATGCCAACAATTTTATATCTTACTTGGAGCCACATTCTTTAAACATGAAACCCTTTATTATCTGCCTCGATGAAGCTTGGCATTGGCAAGGTCAGATCACCTGGTTTTCCAGCAAAGCTGATGAATTATTTTGGCTGCTCCAGACATTAGACCTGATCCTATTAAATCCTTAGTTTCCCTGCCCTCAACACATACCAAGGGATAATCCATTGCCCAGGAACACGTGAAGGGGCTGAGCAGTGCTGTGGGGGCAGCTGCCCATGGGTTAAAACAGTGCACAAGCTCAGAGCCCAGCTCTACAGCCCTGATCTGTGGGACTGGAGGCATTTGCTCCAGCAGAACATATCCTGCACTGACACTGTTTGGGAAAGCACCAGTCTGAGAAATGCTGCAACATCCCCAGGGGATTCCTCCAACCATCCACTGCACCAATGTACCTGCATTCTAAATCCTACAGGGGCACCTGCTGGAGACCAGGCAGTTTTTCATCCTAAAACTTCCAGGTGAAGCCCACATTTTTAGGAATTGACCTTGGAAAACCTTCAGCCTGGCTGTCAGAGCTGTGGAAGGTGTCACTGCCCGCGATTGTCTCATCCGTTTGATGTCTCAAGGAGTAAGGCACCGTGTAACCGATACTTCGGCATTTATTGTCACTTAAAATAGCCCGGCAATCAGCGAGAGGAACTGCCGCCCTGCGGGAGGAGGGAGCTCAGGATTTAGCCGAGGAAAGGTCACACGGCTGCCCCGGGACGGGTTTAGGATGGCGAGGCAGCGACCGCCCCGCTCCGAGCCTCGAACGAGTGTTTCAGTGGCAGCGGAGGGTTCGCCCAGGGGTGGGGACGGTCCCTGACCCGAGGCACAGGACAAGTGACAGAGTCACAGCCGTGTCCTTCGCCCACAAGCCCCGGGAGCAGCCTCTGCCTTCCTTCTGTGGCTCTCCATCCCCCAGGTCCCCCCGGTGCATCCCAGCGGCTCCCACCCCGCTCGCTCCCAGGGGGAAGAATGAGATGCCGGGAGATGAGATGCCTTTTCAAACATTTTTTGGTGAAAGGTCGGACTCTCCCAGGCCTGCGGGAGGGCGGCAAAGCTGCCGTGCCCACCACCCTCCGTCTCTCCCGGACTCCGAGGAGGGACCGGCGGTGCCGGGAGCGCTCCTGGGCGCGGAGCGCGGCTCCCACCTAGCGGGGAGCGCCGGGGAGCCTGGCCCTTCCCGCAGACACCCCCCGACCCCCCCGCTGCCGGGTGAATGCTCCGTAAGCAACAAATCGCCCCCCGGCTGCCGCCCTGAACCTCTTAATTAAAGTCGCTGAGCTCCACCGGCTCCCGGCGGTCGGGATCCCCCTTCCCAGCCCAGCAAATGCGCCCATCAAGCGCCATCGAAACCCACAGAACCCTGGGCTTAACCGAGTTTGCTCCTCGTTGCACCGAACGCTCCGGCTCGCAGCCCTTCCCCCGGGGCTTCCCCATTACCCACCAGGCGTAAGGAACCCGCGGCACCGAACATTCCAACCACTTCTCCATCAACCAGCCTGCCCCTGCCTCAGCCCACGGCGGCTTCCAACAGAGGATTCCCACATTTACACCATGGAAAGGCTCCTGTTCTCCCTCTCTCCCCCACCAAGTGTAGGCTCCCACATAAATTTACAGGTTTTCCTGCAAATTTGGCCACGTACCTGCCTTGGAACAACAGGACTCGAATGCCAGTGAAGGACACAACTGCTTGTGCAGGAGTTGGGCAGACTGTGGAGCACACCTGCACCCTCCCATCTCACTGCTGCTCCACAAATCCAAGGGTTTTTGCATTTTCCAAGTCACACTTTGGCTCCCTGGGCACACTGGGCAGGGAGTCAGAAAGCATGTGGCAATAAAGCTCTTACCTGTGGTGATGGGAACTAATGTTATGCAGCTGGACAGGCACCATCTCAGGTGTTCCAGGGGAAGAAAAACCCATGAGAGGCCTCTGACTCCACCCCCGGGCCACAGCTGCACCTGAGGGTAATTCCAACTGCTCCCAGCTGAGCCCACTGAGGGAGGGCTGGTCCAGCTGGGAGGAATCTGCTCCCAGGAGCCACCCTGGTGACTTTTCCCAACACAAAATAAAAAACTACTTCCAACTTTCTCCTTGCCTTGCCCTGCACAGGAACTCGCTCAGGGCACACCCCAAGACTCTGTGTTGGCTCTACATTTAATGGTAGTGCTCAGTCTGGAAACGGATCCGTGCTAGAACAGAGGGATTTTGCTCTTTGTAACAAAGCCCTCCACCCCTCTGGAGTTACAGAGCAGGCCTGGGAGTAAAGTTTGACCTTCCAAGGAGAAATGAGCAGTTCTGCTGTAATCACATCCCTACCAGGGGTGAATTAAGGCACACAAATCCAAACCACGGGTGTTTTTACGTCCTGTTTTTCACTGCCACACAACACAAGGTGTGCCACAGTTTTCTTGCATCATACACAGCAGCAGCACTAAACTGTGCTGGGGAGAACGTGTGTGGAAGGCAGGGATGAAGCCCAAAGGAAATCCCTTTCCACTGCAGGGCAGAGCTGGGCAGGGAGGGAGAGATTAGATCCGAGTTACACCTGTTAGTTTGGGGTGGTGGTGGTGGTTTGTTTTTTTAAAAAAGAAAATAACAAACAAAAGAAAAAAACCCACACAAACAAAAGAGAACCCCTGCCCACACAAACACGAAAGACAAACAGAAACATGAAAAACCACAACAAAAATCACAAAGAAAAAGAAAGACACAAACAGTGTTTGTTTTTCATACAGCCCAAAATGTTTAATGAAAGCTCAGCCTGGAGTTTGCAGGCACGGGAAGAACTCTGTTCTAATCCCAGGAAGATTAGCTGTTATTTCCTTATGTTGCTCCACGCCACACTTCTGTGACTTTGTGCAGCAGCATCACCTTTCTCCCAGCAAACAGCTGGGACACCCCGTTTTCAGTCTTCAGAGGTGACCAATTTCATGAGGAGTCACTAAAAAACCACAGAGGTCCCTATTATCTGGTATTGCCACACTTTATCCCACTCTGAATTTAAGCAAATGATGGAATGGGAAGAGCACATTATTCCATTTCTATAAGGAGCAACTTTCCTCAGTGAGCTATAAAAAGATGACACTTGAGGCAGCTGCTGGGATGCATCAAACAGGACCTGCCACTTCCACAGCAGGAAACATCTTTACTGCTGCAAACAAGACACCTGAACAGGTAGAACTTCCAACTTTGAAAGAAAATGGTTTATTTTCCACTCTTATTTTCCAACTCACACTTTGAGATAACAGCCTTGAACCTTAAAAAAAAAAAATATCATCTCCAATTTCATCCCTGAGGAGAAGGATGGAGGAAAATGTGTCACACTCATGAGTCTGGGGAGCACCAGAGCTGGATTCCCCCCAAGGAAATGTCCCAAAGTGCCAGGTGTGGAGGCTGGATCCTGGCAGGTGACAGCCAGGGCACAGGGCAGCAGAGTCCAGGGCAGCAGAGCTGTCAGGAAGGAGTGTGTCCCTCCTTCTGTGTCCCTGCCAGCTCTGGTGTCTGCTCCTCCCCACCCTTCCTCTTCTCCTGCAGCTCCTCCAGCACGGTTTGGAGCTGCTGGTGTAAGGCAGGATCCCTGGTTCCAGCAGATCCCTGGTGCTCCTGCTGTGCCACCTGCAGGGAAAGACACAAAATCACATAGAACAGGGTGCAAGCAGCTTCTGAAGGGTGACTGAGGAGAGAAACAGCCCTCTGTGTGTCCAGAAAAGCTGAAAGGAATTAATTCATGCTGAGATTATTATTATTATGGAAAAATTCAATGCACAGCAGCACAGAAACATATTTCCAAATGGTTTCTACAGACACACACTTATTTGAAAGATTATTCAATTTTTTATCACCAGAACAAGCTCTTTTCTGTCCCACAAGTCCCTCAACCTTGGCCAGACAGGTTCATGATCAAGAGGAAAGTTTCCCCTGCACAGCAAAGACATTTTATTACAACCACCAGACATGTGACTGCTTTGTTGAGAATTTACCTCAGACCACCTCAGTATCAGAGGCCTGGGAGAGGGGTTTTCTCAGTCCACCAGTCAAGGGACTCTGTGAATATTTAATACTCACTTTATCTGTTGCTCTTCTCTGTAAAATGATCCCACTGGCTAGAAGGGCTTTTCCTGTTTCTTCAAACAATTTCTCCTCTTCAATTTTCCCTTCTTCCTTCAGCTCATTGTATTTCTCAACAAACCTGGATTGCAAGGCTGTGTTTTTACTCTCACAAATAACGTTTTGGTTCAGTGACTTGAAGGGGAGGAAGGGACAAGTCTCAGAAATATCTCCAGTTCAATTATAATCTTACCTCTGGCAGGTAGATTTGAAGTTTAACTGTGTCAGGTCGAAAGGCCTTGGACCACTGCCATAAACTCTGTAAAATCTCCTGGTCAGAAAACAGGTGAGTTTTTGAAACTAAAATCAATAGTAAATAAACATCAAGGTCTGTTAGATCAGGGTGTTAAAAAAAGCATTTACAGAACTATTTTTCCTTTTCACAGGAGCTCTTATGAACACCTGGAAGTGTCCAAGGCCAGGTTGGAGCAACCTGGGATAGTGGAGGGTGTCCCTGCCCATGGCAGGGCGTGGGACTGGATGGGCTTTAAGGTCGCTCCCAACCCAAACCAGCCTGGAATTCTACAGAGATGTTTGTTCCAGCATTTTTAATGGTTTTAGTAAATTCTAGTTAATCACCACCATGGATCAGAGCAGCTCTGTAACCCCTTCTCAGGGGGGTTAAGCCCAGCCTGGAGCTCTGTGCTGTACAGGTGTGTTTGCCTTTCCTGCTGCACAGGAGCCTCCAGCAGCCATGACAAACATGTGGAAGATCATGAAAAAACCTCTATTCCTTCAAAAAAATCACAAATCAAGAAGCAAAAGCTGGATTTAGGTGATTTACTTAAAACCTGTTTCTACCCTACAGCAGCTTCAAGGCTCCATTCCTCAAACATGCCCTGTGGAAGTTCCCACCATCCAACACTCAAACCCTGTGTGTAACTGGGATTGTCCCTAATCAGCAACTGGTGAAACTCAGAGAATCACGAGCTTCAAGTGAACAGATGATAAAGAGAATTTCAACCAATCGCTCCCTAAAAGCAAGTAATTCTGCTCAATATGGAGCTGGCGGCTGCCAAGAAAGCATTCCATGGATCATGGAATGGTTCGGGTTGGGAGGGCCATTCAACATCGTGTAATTCCAAGCCGTCCAATTCAAGTAATTCCAAGGGCAGGGACACTTTTCAGAGACCAGGCTGCTCCCAGCCCGGTCCAGCCGGGCCCTGCGCACGTCCCGGCGGGATGACGGGTATAACGCGCCGGTGACTCACGCCCGCACTTCATCCTCGCGGTAGAACACGGGCGCGACCGGGTCCACGTTCTGCCCGTAGCGCGGCCGCACCGCGCGGTGCACGGGCTCCCGCAGCGGCGGGAACGCCGCGTACACGTCGAACCACAGCGGCTTCTTGATGATCCCGATGCGCAGCAGGTCCCGCGTCCTGCGGGGAGAAGCGGCGGGGGAGGTCAGGAGGGGCCGCCCTCACCGGGAACCGGCCCCCGCCCCGGCTGAGCCCCCCCCGCGCACCGGCTGAACACGCTGCCGATCCTCTGCGTGCGGCTCCCGGCCATGGCGGCTCCGCGGTCCCGCCGGGACCCCTCGGGACACCCCGAGCCCCCCGGACCCCCGGTGCCGCACCGAGACCGGAACCGGAACCGGGGCCGCCGCCAGGCCGCGCAGCCGAGCGCCGAGCGCTGGCGGGAGGCGATGCCCAGGCAGCGCCAGCCGATGGCCGAGCGGGGGCGCAGTCCGATTGCGTCCTGTGTCGCCCCCCCAGCCGGGACTATCGCGACACGCGGGGCCGGGCCCGGGTGAGCCCGAGCACCCTCAGCCCCTGCCCGGGCGGCACCGGCAGGGCCGAGGCTCGCGGGAGCCGCGCCCCGGGGCGGGCTCGGCCGCCATGTCACTGAGCCACTGAGTCACGGAACGTCCCCGCAGGGACCATCAGCCCGACCCTGGCCCTGCACAGACACCCCGATAATCCCAGCCTGTTGTCCAAACACTCCCCGAGCTCTGTCAGCCTTGGGGCCGTGACCAAACCCTGGGGAGCCTGTTCAGTGCCAACCACCCTCTGGGGGGAGAACCTGTTCCTGAGGTCCAACCTGACCCTGCCCTGGCACAGCTCCAGCCGTTCCCGGGTCCTGTCCCTGTCACACCGAGCAGGGGTCGGAGCTGCCCGATGGGCTCTGCCCTCGGTCTGCTCTGCTCCGGCTGAGCAAACGCAGTGCCCTCAGTGCTCCTCGTGTGGCCCTTCCAGAGCCTTCCCCATCCTCGTGTCCTTGTTGGGCACATGAGGGATGAGGAGACCTGGGACCCCCACCCAGGGCACCCACAGCAGGTTGGGGGGCTGCCCTGTTTGCCCCCCAGAGCTGGGAAGCCCATTCCCCCACACTGGGACAGCAGCGCTCCCTCACCCACCCAGCCTCAGGGAGATAACGGGGCCACTGCCGCCCTGCTGACCCCAGCCCGGACCCCCTGGCACCACCAGCAGCTCTGAGATCCATCCTCTGCTCTCAAACACCCCCCTCCTCCAGGGCAGGCACAGCCCCAGGGTGAAGGGGTGCAGAAGGGTTTGGGGTCACAGACCTCCTGGGGGCAACAAAATCCCAAGTGTCCAAAATCCCAGGATCTCCCTTAGCACCAGCCCTGGAGCAAGGTGACACCAGCTGTGCTTCCCTAAACACCCCCCACCCCCCCTTCTCCCATCCTCAGGGCTGTGGTTTCCTGGGATCTGGAGGGTGGACAAGCCATGGGACACAGTTGTCACTGTCCCCCTGCCAGGCACGTGCAGGGCCCGGCCGCCGTCTCCGGTTTCTCTTGGAGCCATCGGGACTGCTGCAGGGGCAGGACAGCAGTGACAGGAAAGGACAGCTGTCCTGGGTGAGGGACACAGCTCCAAGGGAAGCAGGAGCTGCTCCCACCCTCGCTGGCTGGTCTCTCGAGGAGGGGACAGCTCGGAGATGCTGTGCCTGCACCTCCACAGTGGAGTAGTTTCTCTTCATACATTAGGAACGATGTCCCCAAAAAGGGCTGGGGCTCATCTCCTCTGCCCATGGCACTGAACTGCTCTGTCTGCTGTCCCCAAGCTCAGCACTGCTGTATCCTCATGGCAGCGAGGGCATGGGGACCAGGGGTGACATCGGGCTGCAAACTGTCACCAGCATTGGGGTATGGGGAGGGTCAGTCTCACCCCATCACCTTTTCATGGACTCATGGAATATTCTGAGTTGGAAGGGACCCCCAAGGATCATCAAGGACAACTCCTGGCCCTGCCCAGGACACCCCAACAATCCCACCTTGGGCCTCAGGGTGTTGTCCAAATGCTCCTTGAGCTCTGGCAGGCTTGGTGATTCTTTTCATAGAATCATTAAGGTTGGAAAAGAGCTCAGAGATCATCAAGTCCAACACCTTTTGGTGTCGGGTCTCGCCCAGACAGAGAACAGATGGTGGGATCTGCACAGTTCAGGGTCTGCTCCCTGACCTGATCCTGCCCTGGCAGCCCCAGCCCTGCCCCTTGATTTATAAAGTCCAGAAGCTCCTCCCCAGCCCTGTGTAAACAGCCTTGCTCCAGCCAGCCTTTCCACCAACCTGGCTTGGCAGGGAGCTGGTCACTAGGTGCAGCCCTTAGCTTGGGAATGAGCTGATGGGAAAAAAAAAATACATCCCTGCTTCCATCTTCCAGGCTCGGGAAGGAAGGGGGCAGTAAATTTCCACGGCAGCCTGACAAGCCAGCAGGTATTGCCGGGCTCTCACATCTCCAGCTTCATCCTCATCTCACCAGTTTCCAGCCCTGGGCTTTTCTCAGCTGCTGGTTTTCTTAAAACACGGGTTTGAAAGCAAAACCCTTGCCCTTGTGGAGAAGAGGAATTAAAAAAGGAGTTGCTGGGACTGCTCCAGGGCCACATCTGAGCTGCTCCAAGGACTGGGCAGGCCCTGGGCCATTCAGCTCCTTGGAAAGCCCTGGCTCCCCGCAGAGCATGGCATTCGCTTGGCTGCAGCAGGCAGCCAGAGTTTCTCCACCATTTCTATGCTTTTGACATTTAAGGCAAGAATGCCTTGACTTTTTCCAGGGTCTTCTTTCACAGGGAAGGTTTCCAAGCCACACGTGAGGCTGGGAAGCTCTAATCCTGCCAGGAACTGGAAGCTGCTCTTGGACAGCTGGTGCAGAGGGAGTGGACTCTGGCCTATCCCTTCATGTGAGGGATGCTCCATTTGTCCCCCTGGCCCTGCCACTGTCCCCCGGGGCTGCCCATGAAGTGCCACATGCGACAGCCTCAAAATAATCCTCCTCCTGCAAGTCACAGGCTGCCCACTGTGGAGGTGGAGGTGTGGAGCCACCCCTGTGTCACAGCCCTCTACTCAGGCTGCCTGGGGGTGTTTCTCAAGGACAGCACAGCCTGGATGGGCTGAAACTACTACTTTTCCCAAAAATTAAGAGCTTGAGACTGAGGTTTTGGGTAGTGGCTGGAGATGTGGGGAGCTCCTGTAAGTGGGGCTTGATGCCCTTCCCTCACACCATCACAGACTGCCCTCATCTCTGGGTCCATGTGCTGCTTTCTGAGGCTCCGAGGAGTTTTTCACCACAAGTTTTCCTCTTCCTGCCTGTTTGTAGGGAACATGAAAGGAAGGGAAAGGCAAGCTCTTGAGAATCAGATGCAAATTCAGCCCCATCAGGAGTGTGCAGGTAGTGATTTTGGGCATCTGCAGCCTTGAGGGGCACTGTAGGAGTTGGGCTAGAGCTGCCCCTTCCCTCCCCATACCCCTTTCTTTTTTCTTCCCCCTGTAAAGATATGGGAGTAAAAAAATACCCCAGAGTGTTAAGAGTACAACAGGACTTTATTATAGGAATTACTATTAAACATCTTTAAGAAAAAAATCACTTATGGAAATAAATTCTAAAACAGTCACACTCACAAACATCACAGATCAGTTTGGTTTGTTCTTTTTAAACCCTTTCGTAGAGAAATGATACAAATATCACTGAGAATTGGACATTTTAATGTAAGAAATGAGTTTTGGCTCCCAAGCCGGATTTGTGGCCTTTCTACTCATTAGACCTGATTTTTTTTTGTTTTGTTTTTTTTTTAAAGGACACAAAAATAATCCCTCTCCATCCTCCATTAAAACGATGCTTTGTTGCCTCCAAGATGTTTTGACATGGCTACAGGATGACATCACTCAGAGGCTGTGCCAGGCCTGGGATGTTTAAGGGCACGTTGTTGTTGGTGCGAGCCAAGACGTCCCCAGGGCGCTGTGCCAGCCCCGTGTGCCCGCAGTGCGGTGCCTGCTTTGGGCACAGGGCTCCCCAGCACCACAACACCTCCGTGCAGGGCAGACCCCACCCGTCCCCTCCCCACGGGCCCCGTGTCCCAGCTCACAGCCCCCAGACCACCCTTCCTTCCTCTCCCCGTTCCTCACACGCCCCACAGCCCTGTGGGCTCTGATGGGTCACGGGGAGCAGATGGTGATGGGCACTCGGGGACGTGCTCAGGCAGAAAGCAGAGGCAGCTGCTGTCCCCAGGCTCCTCTGCCAGAAAACCTTGGCTGGGTTACAGAACGTGCCACCTGAGCAGGCCGAGAGGAGGGACAGTGGCCACCTCTGGCTGCAGCTAAAGCCAGCGGGGCAGCAGGACTGGCCTGTGACTGATGTGAGACGTGCCCAGGAGAGCTCAACTGATCCCCCACGGCACGATCCAGCCCGTCCTGGGCACAGCGAACCCTCCAAGGCTCAGCAGAGGGGGGGGAGCTGCGAGTGCCCAGGAACTGGTGCCTCGCTGCCTCAGCCCTCCCGTGACCAACTCCTGCTCTGGGAGGGCAGAATTCCCTTCCCGCCAGAGCCTGAGCACCCGCCCGGCTGCCGCTGCTTCCTGCGCTCATGGAAACTTCGCCGGCAGTGCAGCCCTCGGTAGCTGAGAGGCGCTGGAACTGGGACAAGCTGATCCGGTTCCAAGCTTGATTTTCTTCCAAATATGCAGAGCTGCTTTGGACTGGGAAGGGGTAATGGCAGCCTCCTATGGCCCCAAGGGCCAGCAGAGGGTAAGCAGGGAGCCCCTCCTCTCCACCACTCTCAGGCTGGGAATGAAAGTCCCACCCAGGGAGTAAAGGATTTTCTGTTCCCAGATTCACACTTAGGCCCCTTGCACCCTGAGCCAGGAGGGGACACGCTCCTCCAGAGCCCCATCCTGCCCTGCAGGGTGCAGAGCAGCCCGAGGCACAGCCAGGCACACCACAGAGAGCAGAGGGCTCAGAGCCCTGCCCCTGGCACGGGATGGCTCTAACCTGTCACCAGGCTGCCACGACTCGGGACATGCTCCTCAATCCTTCCTTCGAAAGCAAAGCAGCAGACACCAAAGCTGGGATTTGCTGCTCTGATTTCAGGAACTCAAAGCTCGCTGGTATCCCAGGGCACTCCCAGCCCAGCGCATCCTGCCCTCACCCTTGGCACCCCGGGATTCGTCTGAGTGCCAGTGCTGCAGGAGCGTTTACTTTGAGCTAATGAGACACTACCTGGACCCTGCAGCCACAGAGAGCCGGGAGCAGCCCCGGCCCTGGCCAGGAACCAAGAGCAAGTGAAGCCCGTGGTGCCCCCGATGCCTCCGCGCTGCGAGGGGCGACAGCAGCGCTCAGCAGGTGCAGCGGCTGCTCGCGGGGGGAATCTTG